GATTTATTCTGTAAGGAAACACATACCACTGCATTGGTGTGTTCAACATAGATTATTCCAATGCATAGTTATTGCTGCACACTCTACATCCTGCCATTACCATTTGCATCAAATGCTGTGTTCTTTATGGGGTTTTCCAGCACCGTGAGCACATTTAGTGAAACAAAAACTCCATCAGAGTTGCTTTGTCTCACAAACCACTCAGTATAGAAAAACTTCTGGACTTTGCGGGCAAGAAACATTCAACTCTCAAATCAGTGTGTTGAAGGTCACACCGAGTGACACGGAAACACAACAATCACTCAGCAAATGTGGAATTGGTAAAGAGCAGCAGCTTTTTGAAAACAGCATATTTGAAGGTAAACAGTGATGGAGTGTTGTGCCCGAGGCAGGTTTATAGTGCAGCTGTTTGACTCTGCATTGAGTGTTACTGACATGCACGTTGGTGCACGGTGGACGGAAAGCTGCTGGCAGCAGGGACAGCGTCAATCCCAGTAACGTGGCATCTTTCAGCTTGTGAAGTTGTCCCACTATTTCAATGAAATGCAAACTTCACATCTTCGGTTTTAAGATGTTCAATTTCCAGCTGCTTCCTGGGGCGCAATTCCGCAGAGAAGGATCAATGCAAAACGAGTGGAAAATTGCTAATGTTATTTACATCAAAGTGAGACTGGAGGAAACCAATTATGCCCATGATTCAAGGCAGTTTTCTTAAGTCAGTTGTACCCTGGGTAATGGAGGAATAATATTATTAATATTCCAAGATCAACTCAATATTGTTTTCCAAAACTCGGATATGACCAATATTTTTAAATAATTCATTTTAAAATGTATAACGATTGGTGAGAAAAAAAAGATAAAGAGACAAACAAGAAAAACTTATTTTTATCTCTAAAATGTGACGTACGACAGCGTGTGATGCTTTTTTCGAATGTCTTTTCCCAGATGCAATATTCATCTTCCAGCAGAAGCGTGGTTGTGTTTCATGTTTCAATTTGCGGCTGTACCTCTGTCTGAAAGAGAGAGCTGTAAGGGATCCGTTACTGGGCATAAATCAGATTTTATCTGTGAGCTACTATAGATGAGCTGTCATGATTGATGCAACAACGCTGCACCGCCTATGCACAATTTGCTGGAAGTTGTGGGGAACTCATTCTTTTGTTGTTATTATTGTTTTCATCCCAAATACCACATTACAAAACGAGCATCATGTGTGTTGAACAACATCAGCAGCAGAACGCAGAGAATGAAGAACACAGTTAAAACAAATGATGGCAAGCCAAAATGAGCTTAGATTAAAAAAGCAGCTTTTTACTGGTCACTTGTTGAACTGCTCAGCCACCTGCATGCAGAAGGAAAGCAGCACCAAGCCAATCTCCAATCAAACTCATTTCAAATCAAGAAGGCCGATGGAAAGAGAGCAGCTTTCATGAGCCACAGTGCATTTCTTTGCCTAAAGCAAGACGCTATTTGGTTTGGGGTGCATCATAAGGAAATACATTTTTATTTACTGTCTTTATTTATTTATTATTATGGTTGCAGCCCTTCTGAAGGTAAACTAAAGTAACCTGCCAAGTGACCGCCATCGGGAATGAAGAACCATCTGCTAGTCTGAGGACGTTTGAACATCCAAATATGCAAAAGAAAAAGTTTAGAACACAAATAGTTCCAGTTTAGTTCATCTGGTTCTCTTATCTAAAGCTGTCAAGAAAAAAGGCAGAAGATTTTGACAAGGGAAAGCAGAACGTTACTTGTGGAAAGAGTGCCTGTTGCGGTCCAAAGTCTTTTCCAATGTTTCATTTTTCAGGTCAGAATTAGCAATGAATCAAAAACAGACTAGGACGTCCAGCAGGCTGCCTTGCCTCAGAAAAGCAGGAAATAAGTAGCGATGCATTAGAGCCCATCTTTGTTGCTCTTTTCTTTTTTTAAGGAAAAACTTGACCAATACAATGCCAAAGCTCTTTCTGCATGCCTTTTAACAGCATCACTCAACCCAGATAGCATTACTGTGAAACAAAGGAGGTTAAAGCCTAAACAACCATCTCCTCCTCCAAGGGCTCAATGCCACTGGCTGGCAGGAGGTCCAGATTCCTCCATGTTAGTAGATGGGACACAAACTCAGCATTGCACAGCTTAAAAATCATCAACTTAGTGTAAAGACAGAGCAATACTCCTCGCTTTCTTCAGTTGTTGAATAATAAAGTCACAAAATCCCGTTTACTGATGCAACCCAGACGGGTTTTTGGAGCCGTTGGGATTCCCAACGCATCGGGAGCCGGCGCTGTGCCAGAGCATCGGTTTCCAACACCTGCGGTAAAAACGTACATTTCACCAACATTTAACTTCTAACCTCTGGCTATTTAACCTTCCCCTCACCCCCACCCTAACCTTAACACTGTTTCTCATTCTAAACTCCCTGTTAACCGTGTTGGAGAGGTACGACACAACTAGAAACAAGGGTTTGCATGCACAAGAGGGTTAAGGTTAGAATGGGGGTGAGGGGAAGGTTTAATGGCAAGAGGGTAAAGGTCACAATTTGGTGAAATCTCAGTTTTACCGCGGCCGTCGGAAAACGACGCTCTGGCACAGCGTGCCGCCTCCCGCTGTGAAAACGAATGCTTGGTCACCCAGCGTCATTTGTCAACGCTTCGGGTGTGAGAACGTGTCGGCTGGTTTCAGAAACTAGAAGTGAGCCACATCAGAGGCTGGCTTCAGACGACAGGATGTGGAGTCTCATGGACATCTTTCCTCTGATTGGTCAACAGCATTGTGACTCTACCACTGACTCTGTTTTCTTTGCAACGTGGATGTTGTATCTCCACATATTACACAAGCCTGAAGGAGTTCTGCTGTGTGTTGGTGTTGCTAATGCTAACAGTTAGCTTCTAGAAGCCAAAATGTTCTCTGATGTTTCCTGGAAAATAAACCAACAGCAACCCGATTAGGCTTTTCTAATTCTAGAGTTTAAGCGCCTATCTCCTATCAGAAGCTAAAGCAGGGGATAGGTGTAGGAGACTCTTTTCATGTTCAACCTGCATGACGAACTCAAAGCGACTAATTATAATCAGAAATCATCATTAAAAATGATTTTTCAGTGTTCCACACGTTTAATATAGTAGAGGATTTTATCAAATGGATTAATCGCAGAAAATGAAGTTACTTAAAGTGACAGTGAGTATTTTTGCTGGCGATAGGGGGCAGTACATACCCAAATCATTACAAGCAAACAGCATTTTTGTGTTGGAGTAAGACGTTACAAATGGATGCTCATTAGGGTCAAAAACCCCTGGGCAGTGCAAACTTTAACAAAATAACAAGCACATCAGACTCCCTTTCATCACTGGCAACAAGTCCAGAGGTAAATGTGTAAAACAACATTTAAGAATGACCAAAGTTTTGTTATTGTTTGTTACAAATCAGTAAATGCGTTTTGTCCTCACAGGCTCCCGTAGAGGGAAACATGGCATCTAATATGGCGTCGCCCGGAGACTTAGACCCGCGTATTTTAGACCTGATTTTTATGGTTATATGTTACGAAGCTGCCAATATTTTTCAACAACTGGGCAGCATTTCATTCATTTTCAACAACATTTTGATGGATATTTCCAGAAATTAGTGGTAAAAACTACACATTGTCTCTTTAATCTTTCAATTTTTATTAATTTACTAAGTAAATGATAAGATTAATCTCAATTATAAAAAAAGAACACGGAGCAATTTAACGTATGCTTTTATGCAATAATGGACGGTTGTTTAGGATTCTTGTCCTTGGTACAACACTGTAATGTTCTGCATGCCACGAGGCAATTTAAAGCACCTATTCTCAGCACGCGGATGCATAAATGTCAGCTCCACAATACTGTTTTGTTGGACAGCCACCTGTGTTGTCCCCAACACATCCACACACCCCCACTCCCCAGCATGGCTTGTAGCATCAGGCAACCTCTTTGCTGCTGAGCAGTTATGGAGACATAGACAGAGCACCTGCCCTCGTGCCTGAGCGCTGCTCCCAGCAGCTTGCTAATGTCAACCTACCTGATGGTCACAGCAGGGTGGGGGCTCCAAGACAGCAGCAATTTTCCACTGCATGTGAAAGCGACTGGAGAGAGCAATCTGCTGGCCTGAGAGTCTCATAATCAGCACATCATTATCAGTAGGGATCGGTGCAAGTGGGGTGAGGCAGAGAGGAAATATAAAAGAGGGAGGAAAGGATGACATGGAATGAGCTGCTGTTGACATTGAGAAGTCATAAGATGTTGGGAGGGAGAACAAAATTGGGGGGGGGGGGGGGGGGGCATTTAAATAGATCTTTAGCAAGAATATAGAAGGACTATCCCGCCTCCCATGTTTACACATCAACCAGACTCCTGGAGAAGCAACAGCAGACTTGATTTAGCTCATAGTAGCTCAGATGTTCCCTGTTAGTCTGTATTACTGCTGGTCTTTTAACTCACACGATCTAATGGCAGACATACAGATGCACTGTGACAGCTCTTTGAAGCTTACCTTCCCGCATGCATTTTTCAGTGAGTTCAAAAGGAGCCAGGACAACAAAGATAGCATTGCAGCTGCGTACATTCGTCTGGTTTGTGAAGCGCCCAGAATTTTCTGTGTACTCAAACTCGTCTTTAAACCCTTGCTGGATAATGGAGGGGGTGCAGCAGTCTGACGTCCTGCTTGATCTCACACATATTCCTGGATCACACTACAGTGATCGTTAGTTTAACTGGGCCTAATGCAGAACCAAAACATTTGCATAACAGTGGTTTTAGCCAGTATTTTTTTCTTAATTCGTTATTTAAAAAGTACACAGCCATCAGGTTGTTTTCTGTCGTCCTGGCTGAAGGTTTAATGTGTCAACAGTCAATCACAGCTGTCCAAGGGGGTTTTCTTCCACTTCCTGCCACGTGGGGGCAATAGCGCACAGAGCACCTGGGCTCAGGTTTGTGAGCGCGCTGCCACATGATGATCAATTCATAAAAGGATGTGCTTGGCTTTGTGGTCATAACATCTGCCACACAAAGGAACCAAGCATGGCCGTGGAAGTTGTTGTAACTCTGACCCAAGAGTCTTTTTTTGGGCATCAAGTTTTGTCTTTGAAACACTTTCAGCTTATTACTTCGATCCTTGGCATTTGTATTCGTGTTTTGTGGTCATTTGGATTGCAGTGATGTCAATACCCAGCCCCACATACTTGACAGCCAAATCATTTCAACTGGACTGACTCCGCCTCGCTCATGCGGGACTTGCCTGCGTGCGCTCCCCTAAAGAGTCTTCTCTTTTCACCCACCCCCCTCCCCCGGTAACTTCACCCCATCAGCAGAGAGGAGCAGCCTTGACGCACAGAACCGGGCGAGCACATCGGCAGTGGGAGAAGCAGCAGCATCCGGAGCCACCTGGCCGTTCACTGCTGCCCGTGGCGACCTCAGCGCAACATGTTTCCAGCGTGGAGACATCGGGGAACCCGCGGCGGGGCTTCAGCGGTACCAAAGCGGACCATGTGTGGAACTGGACAGGCGTGGGTCTCCTGTTGGATTCTGATGCTGTCGACTTCTATTCCCGGCGCTCAGGCTCAAGGTAAGATGCGAAACTCAGTTTTTCTTTCCTTTTCTCTCGTTTTTCTGCGCCTGGCAAAAGTGAAAAACCAAATAAATGTGACGCAAATAGAGGATCAGATCTCTGGTCAATTATGAGGAGAAACTGTTGAACTGGATGAAGATTCAAAGCAACTTGGCCACCAAAGGTCTGGAGGAGAATAACCTGTCTGTGTGCATCAGAGGGGTTTAAAACAAACACAGGAACACTGTTACAGCCTCTAAATATGTAAATAAATAAATCGGCCATTCATCATATTCCTAAAGTCAGTTAAGCGATTTCACTTGTGGTTTTGCTGCCAGCTGTGCGAGCCTGTGGAGCTGGGAGCATCACTGGCTAATAGACAGCCATTAACTTGTAAGTACATGACACCACTGTGGGTCAGCAAAGCAGAGCAGATGTTTCAAGGCTGTGTTGCACCGCTTCTGCGTTCAGACTGCGAAACTAATGTGCATCTTGCAGAGTGCATAAATCACAGCATGCTGGCTTTTCTTCATGTCCACCACAGTCAGCAATAAGGGGAGGCAGGCATGATCACGATACCCAACAGTCACTGTGAAACTGTTACGACTCCTGACTTGTCTGCCGTTGACCTCTTGGCTGCGGTCAGGAGAAAATGAGATCTGCTAAATAAGGTCTGAGAGGTGTGGAGAGCAAAAACACCCTAACTTCATAAATCGTGACTGAATACAAACAAAACTGCTGTGTGTCACAACAAGAAGTAAAGATATGTAGATTTTCTGTGCACTCCAGGTGACTGTGGCCTGACTTTCTGACTGATAACCAAACACATTCAAGACCATGGCTTTGTTTTAGAGAAACGCAGAACTGCAAGATACACATTTAACGGCACAAGTCCTTGAAGTAGTTATCTCTGCAGGTCCCACAAGAAAAAAAGTCACATTTTGAAGGTTTCATCCGAGAGGTGCCTCCTCTAAGCACTCGTCGTTTCACCATCACTCTACTCAGTGCACCAAAGTGCTAAAAGCAGCATAATCCCTGTGCATGTTTGTATTTTAACAACTCACATTGCTCTAAAGTACTCCCAACCTTCTCTGAAAAGAGTCTCAGGCGTCACTTATTATGCAAGGCACAGTTCTTCTAGCTGTTATTAGCATCTCTTTCTCAAGCCAACATGCCTGGAGTGGGTAAGGATCTGCTGAGTGCTACTGGGCTTTGACTTTTCTTCCCAAACCCCCCCAAACTGTTTCTGTGTTTTACTCTTGGCTCGTGGGAAATGCACCTATTACTGTGTGTGCTGTATTAGCTGAGGAAGGCCCCCCCACCGCAGTGCACAATTCCTGTTTTGGGATCTTTGGTGGTGACACAGTTATGGGCTTTGCAGGGGGCTCCTCTCAGCACCCAGTCTTGTTCCCATGAAGTAAAAGGCAGCTCTCATCCGAAGAGGGAATCCTTGTTTGCAAATGAGTGGCAAAACAGCAATGTTTCTGCAGAAAGTTACAGAAGCTGTAGTCTTTTCCCGAGAGAGGAGGACCTCTAAGGATGTTGGGAATTAGGCGACACACAGGCTCCTCCAGGGAACAGGCGGCATGCTTGTTTTTCAGCAGGTTCATATTGATGCTCCTGCTGAGTTTAATACAGATGGCTGTTCTACTGCACGAGTGTGGAAGATCCACAGGGGAAGCTTTCGTCAGGTTTTACCCAGCAAGCCATTTAGAGACTCATGTAGATCCTTTAATCGAAATACCAAGTAAATGGATGTGAGTTTCTGCCTTTCTTCATCTCTTTGCAGCCTTTCTCCTCCTGAATACCCTAGAGCTGCAGAGCTCTATGTCCATCTTCATGCGTTTGCTCACATTTTGTTGTGTCTATCTGTAAAAAAAATGGAGTGAATGAGTGAGTGAAGGTGCACAGTTGCTAGAGCTCGTGTTCCTGTCTATTGAGCTTTAATCTTGATAGCAGCATTGAAATTCTGCCAACCGACAGCTGCTATAATTTTCTGGACGTACGTTAGTATGCAGCTTGACAGCTGTCAGCCATTTCCAAATCTTTAAATCTTATGATAATCCACAGTGCTTACAAAAAACAGCATTTGTTTAAAACACTCTGAATCCCTGTGTGATTAAAACTCCCCCGGTAACACAGGGCACTACATCATAATTCATCCATGTTGATGCAAGAGGAAGGATGGAAAAATCAATAGCTATATAATGGCACAAAACAAGTATTTTAGTATTTTAGTAACATTACAAACATCTTCTCCAGTTAAAAAACAAACGGTTGAAAAAGCTATAAATCTGCACTCAGGTGTACAAAAATCACCTCGACTTACAGTTTGTGTTCCTCCTTTTTCCACATTGCATTCATGTCACTTTGGTTTCATGCATATGGTGACGCAACCATTCATCTCTGAACATTTGACAGCTCTATAAGAAATATATGTTCACACAATCGAATTCAAACACCCAACTTCTCCACCGTCATGGCATAATTACACACGGTGCCTACTGCGACATATGTATCTCTGTTTGCTAAAACCAAGTCAGTTAAATACTTGTCTGCTCTAGAGAGCCAGCAGCTGTTGAAATTTGGACTAATGGGCCATTTCCATCTGTACCGGGTCGGCCCGGGCCGGGTAGCGTAGGTTGTTTACATATCTGGGTGGCCTGGTATTGTTCCGGGCCAACCAAGGCTCATTCTCAGCCCTCTTCTGGAGGGGGTCTGCTTCAGGCCGACCAGGGCCAACACACCCACTGCTGACAGCAAATTCACACCTTCCATTAGAGCAAGCCTCTGATTGGTGGGTAGAATCAGCCCACATGGGCTTAAGGCAAGGATGTGTGGAACCAACCGGGCCAGGCTGGGGCCGACTGGGGCTACCCGGCCCGGGCCGACCCGGTACAGATGGGAATGGCCCATAAGAGTGTGTTTTCTTTGCAGCATGGCACATGCCTGGAAAGGCCAGCCTCAGGTGGAATGGTGGCAGCTTCCATGTCTGACTGCTTGTTTTAAAATGATTCTTCTTCCCTTCATTTACTTCTTGCTGCCAAATGCCGTGCACACGTGTTTATTCATGTTACCCCCAAATGTTTCATCCACCAACACGTCACAGCAAAATGAAAAAGCCTAAATTTAGAATGGAAATGAATTTCGAAAAAGACAACAAACAATGTGTTCGAGTGATTACAATCAACCCTGTTGTTGAAGAACAAAAGTGGAGTTTAGCTTCAGGACAGCTGGCTCATTTACGCAGGAAAACTGTGTTTATATTTCTTAATGGAAGTGTAATCATATTAACTGCAGGGCTTTGGCATTCTCGCTTTGCTTAGTAATTGCAGTTTGCCCATAGGGCTCTGGTAATGGCTATTTGCATAGGGCTAATGGTTTTATCGCACCATGTGCTTGCCACGCGCATGTTTACATATTTGGGTAGTTGGCTAAAAGTTTTACTCCCCCTGAACAACTCTGGCTGCGTTGGTGTTAAGCACCTGCTTGTGCTTGTGTTCTGTTCTGTGAACTGAAGTAGTGAGTCAAACCTTCACTCCACAAAAACATGGTTGGACGGATTATTTATCCAGAGACAACTCTCCCTGGTCTTGCTGAATGAAAGTGTAGATTATTTTTGTTTAACCAAGGTATACCCTAATTAGATTTTTCAGTAATAGCTTCAATTTTGAAGCAATTTCTTCTTTTGGTGCCGATTTTAATCACACAGCCCAGAGTGGCTTTGTTTCCATATCTGCTTGTTTACAGATGAGAGTGAGCGGAGAGGTGCTGCAGGCAGAAAATACACATTTCTCACATATTAATTCTCCCAGCTAAAAGTCTAATCAATCTGACACAGAGCTGGGGGCTCTTCAGCTATCCAGAGTTCAGGAAGGAAGCAGCGAGCGAGCACAGAAACCGACAGCTGAAATGACCTTATGGAAAAGAAGGTGAAGCAGCAGTATTTGTTTGTTTTGTCTGATATCATTTTTGACCAAGGATCACAACATGCCCTACAGGTTATAAATTGTAAGTCGCTTTGGATAAAAGCGTCTGCTAAACAAATAAACACAAAAAAACACCAAGGAGCAAAACTGTTTTGCCTCACCAAAGAGTCCCTAACAACAATCAGCCTGAAAAGCTTTTTAAAATGTTCATTCCTACTTTCATCCATGGAAATGAGCATTCCGAATCAAGCATATGTCTTGAAGCCCCCGAGCTGTTGCGTGTAAACATTTAAACAACACAAAGGCAATTGAAGGAGAACTGTGGCGAGAAACTATGCTTTTTACAACATCATGTGCCGCTGACTCTGCTCACATCCAGCTTGGCCCTCCTGGGAGCTGGTGAGTGTGTTCCTGTGTCGTGGATAAAATGGCAGACAGGAAGTAGAGAAATGTAGGTGGTGGCGTTAGGGCCAGCCTTTTCCTCTATCTCTCCCAGTAAAAACAGCTGGCCATACAAATCCATTTTTCTTTGTGTTTTTACAAACAAATCCTCAACTTGACGTTCTGCTCCATTCTTGTGCTGACCCCAAACCAAGACTGTTACAACGCTGTGACTCACTTCAGCAAATGGATACACACCCCTGCTTTTTCTATTCAATTTGATACAAAATAAGCTAAATGAACAAACATGTTGCTTCTTTAATTCATAAAGGGAGTTCAAAGGTCAGTAGGTTTGGAGATTATTCCAGTTCATGTCGTAGAAACAAGCTCTCGTATGAAAATCTGCAAAGCTGAGTTTGCTCGACTGCTAAGCAGCAGGCCCAGTGGACTCTCTGGGGGCCCTGGCAAGAAGCCTCTAGCTGCATCTCAATACTTTATGCTCCGTATTGATCATGACTTGAGCTTACTCTCACCCCCCATTGTCCTGCTCTTGGACACATGGGATCTAATATCATACTTGATTTTGTTTCCAAGCACCTGCCATCTTTCCTCTTCCTCGCCCTCACCAGTTCCATCTTAGTTTGACACCAATCAACCTTTGCTAGAAACAAATGTGCAACAAGAGACACCGGGAGCTGGTGGGGTGGG